TGGTGGAAGCATGAGATCGTACCACCGGTTCCCCCACCCTCTCCATTTGCCTCTCTGTCCTATACTGCTCTGCTAACTCCACTGCGTCGTCATCACCAAGCGGATCCACCCTGACATTCACAGCTTTTTCTTGGGCCATTTCTATGGTATGTCTACGAATCGCTTCGGATGCAGGTGCAAGGAAATTGAAAAAATGTTGCAGAGGTGTATCGTCAGCAACAAAGAAGTTAACACTTAGGATGTTTTGATTTTTCGCAAAGAAGTAGGTAAATCGAATAATGCCAAAAGCCCACAGCTTGCCCGTATTCCAAGGGTCGCAATTAATTTGCACCAGTTTGAAAACTTTTCAAAACATCTGCCAAAACTGTCTTTTCAACACCCATAATGACCTATCGTTTCATTTCTGATCCAACGCCTAATCTTCCCCCCCATGAGATGCTTGCCACGTGTACGACCACGATCCACTGTCTCCTCCCCTTACCCTGTCTTTTCCACTTCAAATCACCATGTGACACGCCGCCTCTTGAGCCCCGCGTCCTTCCACCTTACCCTTCGCAGTCGGCCCTTCTCATGGTCAGCCCTTCCACTCAGCCACGATTCACGGTCGGTCCACCTCATGGTCCTCCCTCCCACTCGGCCAACCTTCGCACTCGGCCCTTCTCGTGGTCGGCCCTTCTACTCGGCCACGATTCGCGGTCGGTCCACCTCATGGTCTTCCCTTCCACTCGGCCCACCTCATGGTCTGTCCACCTCGCGGTCGGTCCACCCACTCGGTCACCCCTGCCGGTCGACCTCCATTCTGCCAATCTCTAACACCCTCATTCTCTTCATTAGTATTCCCTTCGTTAGACTAAAGCTGCACTCGGGAATGGGGGACTACTGACGTGGGTAAGCCCATAAAGGTCATAACCCACTATGAACAACCCAAGCCCATCACTTGGAGCCCAATACATAACCCAGCTGATGAAGTCCAGAACAACTAGAATTCAACATGGCATAAAGAGCCAATGACATTCAGACATACGGCAGGTAAAGGACAAGCCACATCAGCAGACAAAGATCTGCAAAGTTATTGCCACTGCACATCACCATTAATGCAGCCCATCACAGCATTTATTACGACAACACCTCTCCGTCGGAACAACACCCCCTTACCCTGAACAAGGTAAGCTACAGCATAGACTTTCGGCCAAGATGGCAGGTCGGAAGGGACAGCGAAATGATGACCAAAGGATATAAGCAAACGTTGAAGACAAGAAGAAAGTTAAGTTTATCTATCTCTAATTCATATCTCTACATTACACTTCTCTCTCTCTCTAACTTGCTCGTCTGAGGGTTCGCTGGGGGACTCCCCGTTCCTCTGTTGAACTTGTGTGCAGGTTTTCTGGTGGGCTTGAACACTCAGTTACCGGTTGAAGAAGCGTGGATTAGTCCGACCCATTCCACCTGGGACCTGTTGTGTAGTAACTGTATCATCAATTATGATCCCCAAAAAAAGCCCTCGAATTTTACATTTGTACTCTTTTTAGCATTTTCCACCAATGGGGCATATTGTACCCTAATGTACTCTCAATTAGGGATGACTATTTTAATCCGATCCAAAGAAGCTCATCTATATCCGTTCAAATGGAGCGGATTTTATCCACCCCAATACTTCTGTGGGGCAAGATATATTATATTTTGATCACCCGCAACGGAAGTGGGACGGGGGCAGGGGGCAGGTATCACCTCTCTCGATCCAAACCCGACTTGATATAATAAATAATATATAAATAAATATTTATGTATATATATATGTATATAATGTAATTAGATATAAGAAAAAAATACCAAAAGTCTGTGATTTTATTTAAATATAAATAAATAATAATTTAAAAAATCTCATTGTTTATATGTATGAAAATAGGAAAATAGGTCATCAGGGCATGATTTCTTCATAGAGAGAATGCATTGGGATAGAACGACAAAAGATTATATTCCTTAAATAGGTTGTCACCACCATTTCATATTCAAAGCATCAAACTCTGGGTGATGTAAAAGGTCATTAGGGCAGGAAGTGAATCTAGTCGCTCAAGTTTAATTTGAAAATTTATTAAGTTTTAAAATGTGTTTAATTTTGACTTATTTATATAAAGAACCAATCTCAAATAAATTCTTAATGAGTAGATCACGAGTTGGGTTTAAGTAATTCAGTGCCTTATAGTGCATATAAACTTATTAAACCGAATAGTTGGCATCTAATTTGGCTGAAAACTCAACAACTTTTCAAATATATTTAAATTTGACTTTTTATTTAACGTGCTAATCTCAAACAAATTTTTAACAAATTAATTGGAGTGGGCTAAGGCCCTACACATTGGATTAGGGCTAGATTAGAGCAAAATCAAAACTTAGAAAGGGATATGGACTGGCAATTTAATTGGGTTGGATAGCAGGGCTAAATCTTGGTCCCTATTTTTTCGGGCTAAGGCCTACTCATTATGCGGACTCAAGGATTAGGAATCAGGATCCCTCTGTCCACTAAAATTGTTTGTGAATCGTTTATTTTATATGATATTTTTTAATAGTTTATCTCAATACAAAAATCAAGTTGATCAAGCAATTATACTCACGTTATCAGTTTATATATGTTTGTTATGAAAACAAATGAACAAAGTCCGTTATCAAAATCATTGTACTTATAATTTATTTTATTTTATTTTTATGACAAATTTTCTCTAATCATATACTATTTTTGATTAGTCTAATTTTTATATAGATGATTTGTTTGAAGGGCTTTATAAGACAAATAATTCAGATTATGAAAATCAGGGTTATGATTGAGGCTATGAAACCCAACTACATCCTCTAATTACGATGCTCAACTAGAGAAAATCATAACTTTCCAAAATAAAAAATAGCCTAATGTCATCAACTTGTGTTTTTGCCTATTACAAATTCAAATGACCAAACTATATAATGGATCATCGTTGTATTGGCAACATACATGGTTAGTGAGACCCATTCAACCACTACAATCATAACAAATGAGATGGTATACTAAATGTAATAGATAAATATGATTATTGTAAAATTACATTAATATTTATTTATTTATTATTTTATAAACATCACAAATCTTGTATGTAAGAAGAAGAGCAGTGTCCTGACTCGAGCTCACTACTTAGATGAGTTGAGTTTAAACCGCCGGCTGCCCAGCTCGCTCAAGTTACCATGAAACTTTGCTCTCAAATTTACTTTAAAATGAAGTGTAAATTTAAAATTGATGAGATGTATGTCATATTTCAAATAATTGTGATTCCTAAATATATTTTTCTATCCGAAAAATGATGTGTAGAAAAATTGAATTTTTATAAAAGCTTAATCGTATGCACAATCTCGATTCACCTTGTACGGTTGAATCCTATTTTTTAAAAATTTATTTATTTTTTATATTTTTCGTGTGTGTGTGTTTTTTTTTATTATATATATATATATATATATATATTTTCACGTAGAAAAATTGAATTTTTTTTAAAGCTTAATCGTATGACACAATCTCGATTCACCTTGTACGGTTGAATCCTATTTTTTAAAAATTTATTTATTTTTTATATTTTTCGTGTGTGTGTGTTTTTTTTTATTATATATATATATATATATATTTTCACAATTTTTTAATTTTTAAATGCACCTCACCTAGATTAAAAATTGAGATGGTTGAATAAAATTGAGTTTTTTTTTTTTTATTTTTCGTGTGATTTTTTTTATTTATATTTTCACTGAATTTTTTTTAATTATTGCAAGTAATTTTATTTTTAAAAAATTTTAGATGCACCTCACTTAGATTAATAACAAATTCACCAAAAAAAAAAAAAAAAACTCAATTTTCAAAAAATTTGAGTTCAAAAATTAGAAATAAACAAGGTGACTAGTTTCAAGCTGCGTAGAATCGAAATGTCAAAATTTGCAACAGGCATGTTAGACTAAACTCACATCGTCAATCTAGCCACTCAAACTTAATTAATATAATGTAAAGGTCTCACCATTTATTATTTATTGATTTTGAGTTGAATGCTTTAACATAGTATTAGAGTTAGGTCATGACCATATTGGGTAGTACATGAGGGGGAGTGTTAGACTTGAACACACAACGCCAATCTAAGCCTCCCATAGATGGTTAATATAATATAATGGAACGGTTTTTTCACTCATTATCAATCGATTTTAAATTAAATATTTTAACGGTGCAAACAAGAATTTGTTGTCCAAAAAGAAAAAAAGAAAAAAGAGTCGACTTGACAATGACAAGAGAAGGTAAGTTTGCAAAAGAAGAATTTGTTTTCCAAAAGGAGAAATGATTCAACTTGCACTACAAAAAAATACATTTTTGGCGACTAAAAAAATTTAGTCGCCAAAAGTTACAGAATTGGCTACCAAAATAATATTAGTCTGCAAAAATAAAATATTTAGCTACTAATTTTTTTTAGTCAGGGAGTATTGATTATTGGCGACTAAAAAAAAATTTAGTAGCTAAAAATATTACAATTGGCGACTAAAAAAAATTTTAGTAGCTAAAAATATCACAATTGGCGACTAAAAGAAATTTGAGTAGCCGTAGAGCTAGTTTTAACTACTAAAATTGTTTAGTAGACGAATGAAAAGAAAAAAAATTATTTTTTTATCTTTGGCGACCAAAATATGTGGTCGCCAAAAGTATATTTTCAGCGACAAAAGAATATTTTTGTCGCCGTATAGTTAGTTTTAGCTACTAAAATTGTTTAGTAGCCGAATGAAAAGAAAAAAAAAAATAGTTTTATCTTTGGCGGCCAAAAGTTTGGTCGCCAAAAGTATATTTATAGCGACAAAATAATAGTTTAGTCGCCAAAAACCTAAAACATGTGGAAGGAGATTTCAAATTTCAGACGGATTAAAAATAATTAGCGACTAAAATATTTACTTGCGAATGAATATTAATTATATATGTATTTTGTTTTCAACCCAAACCGTGGGTAAATCAATTCCCCTTTCTCCTCTCTCTCTAGCGAGAAGAGAGACTCACTTCTCTCATTGACCTCCAATTCCACCCACCAATGGCGCGGCCACGGCCACAGGTAGCCACCACCACTGCCGTCTTGATCCTATTTCTCGTGGCCGAGGTCGTTTCCTCCGACGAAGCAAGCACCATCGTCCTCCGACCACCCCACGGCGGCGGCAACCGCCACACCATGTTCCTCCCCCTCTTTCTCTCTCCTCCTCCTAGCAGCTTTTCCCGCAACTCCTCTCCCTCTCTCTGCCGTCAGATTCAGGGATCCGACCCTCTCCACCCTAACGCTCGCATGCCCATCTACGACGACCTCCTCCTCAACGGGTAATAAATCTTCACATCTTCTCCGATCTTTCATATGTAACTCGATGGAATTGAAAATTGGTGTTGTTGTAGTTCCTTGCTCTACATGTGAACAGTGTACTTCTCTGATCTTTTTTATTTATGTCGTGTATGTAAAAATGTCATAGAGAGGTTTTGAGGACTGGTTTGTTGGTTCAGTAACTAAGTTGACTGCATGCTTTATTGTTGGTTGTAGATTGAATTTTTTTTTTGTTTTTGTTTTTGCTAGGGTTGTTCTCTTCACATAGATAATTTGTTTATTTATTTTGGAAGGTTTGCATAACCATGATAAATATGTTTATCCTTAAGAAGACAACATAGATAATATGTTCTCTCTTCCCTTTTTTTTTTATTATTGCATTCTTCTGAAATTAATAAAGATACAGGCAACACGACATATCTTTAGGTATTTTAATCTATAATTAGTTTAGATACTGAGTTGAAACCTATCAATAAAAGAAAATATTTAAAATTTCCTTGTGAAGTTGGAAGTTAAAGTGCCAAAAGAATGATTTATTATCTTTCCATTACATGAAGACTGCATTAGATTCTAAAAAAATTATTATTGTGTTTTAAGGTCCAATAGAGGGCTTTCTCTCTCTGTTGGTAGTTCTTAACATAAACAGTGTGGTCCCGGTACTAGTGTAAGTGCATGTTTGAGGCTTCAATTTTCCACATCTAACGAATTCTGTCAGAAATATTCTACAAGCAGGGTTTTGGTCTTCCATGAGTTGATATCGAAAACTTGAAAGATTCTAAGAAAATGAAAGTGATCTGAGAAAACTTTTTGCATGTTGGTCCATTTTAGTAGGTTTGAGAATCAAGAGATGCAAAATGGGAATAGTATTTGACCAAAGAAGATTGAATTCCATGGTTGCATAGCTTGTGAATATGAAAGCCACAGTTGCCAAATCTTCATAACGGCTTGGTTAATAATTTGTCATATATGTTTTATTGCAGGTGTGAGGGCTGTTGCAGAGAGACATATTAAAGAAATATGTGCTGAGAATATAAACAAGTTTAAATCGGATAAGTCCAGAAAAATAAATAGAAGTTCTTTGTCTGAGCTTTTCATTTCATTCCTAAAAAAGTAAGTAGTTCTTTCATAATTCTTTCCTTTACAAGTGAATTTATATGTATGAGATCAGCACCAACGATGGATCTAGGGGGAGGGGGGGACCACACCCCCCTAAAATTTGAAAAATATCACTTATTATATTAGAAAATTTAAAATAATTAAAAATTATAAGGATTTGCACACCCAAACTTATTTTCGCACCCCCATAGTTATAATCTTGGGTCCGTCCCAGCACCTTGTATCTGTTTGTTACATTTTCTTTCTTTTATTTTATTTTTGGGTGTTTTGACCTGAATGATATTGTGTATAAAATACAATAAATGTTTTTTTCTTTCTAATATTTGATTCATAAAATTTATTTTGGCCAAAAAGGGAGGGCTTTTCCCTATTCTTTGAATGGGATGGCTATGAGAAATTGTCAAACATGCAAATAGACTGTTTATTAATTTTCAATAGATTGGGTAACAAATATTTTTTTTTTCTTTTTTGCAGTTTGCTGACATTAGTTCGAGGGCCTCAGAAAAAGGAATCTGCCCATATACTGGACAATGGGAACAAATTGATACCAATATGAGATGGCTGCCCAAAACTTGTGCACTATTTGTAATCTCTCTTTCTCTCTGTCCACTACAGCTGCAACTACGACTTAGCTTTTTTCCACGAGTGGAGCTAATTTTATTGCTAATATCTGTTTAGGTTAAGGACCCTTTTGAGCAACCAGTTAACAAGGCTAGGACTGTTAGCATTAGACATCTAACAAGGATATCGGAAGCATTTCAGGGAACCCACCATGCACTTATGTATGGAATTAAATTATGTTAGACATCTAACGAGGATATTGGATATTAAATTTGGTTAATCCTCTATTATGCATGTAATTAAATTATCGGGGTTGGATTATACGTGGTTCGTATGGAATTTGTATTACATTTGGAATTTCTATTATTACATTTAGTTGTATTAAAAATTTATATTCAACGTTGACTTTGAATATAAATTTTTTGGATGGTTGGAAGTGAAATGTGTACACGTCGTTAAATGGTTGATAATATATTCAGTATTGATAGATTATATTGTTTACATAGGGTACAGGTTGCACTAATAATAGATACAGGTGGTTCATAAATTTAAAAAAAAAAAATTAATATAGTATTTGGCGACTAAATATGTTGGTAGTCAAAAATGTAAGCAAATGTTTTGGCGACCAATAATTTAGTAGCAAAATATAACCAAATGGGTTTTTGCGACCAAACCACATAGTAACTAAAACAAATCAGAACGAGGGAAGTTTAATTGCCGACTAAATATTTTAGTCACTAAAAACACGACATCCTTTGGCGACTAAAGTGTTTGGTCGCTAAATGTACGTATTCTATTAGCGACTAAAAGTTTTGTCTCTAATAATTTAATTTAGTTTTATGTGAGAACTTTCGGCGACTAATATTTTAGTCGCCAAAAGATACCTTTGCCGACTAACTAAAGTTTAGTAGCCAAAAGTTCAATTTCGGCCACCAATAATTTAGTCACCAAAAGGTCACATTTCCCGACTATTGTTTAGTAGCCAAATGTTTAACTTTCGGCGACCAAAAATAGTTTAGTCGCCAATACTATTGTCACGACCTAAACCCGCCCCTATGGGTTTAGCACCGTAACCGGCCAGTAATCCGAGATTACCAAAGGCTTGCTTAACAGTAATAACAGTAATACAGAGTACAGGGGCTGGCGGAAGCCAAAACAGTAAGAAAAGATGTCCAATGAGCTGTGACAGTCTGTTTGCAAAAAGGCTTTTCATATCATATACACATATACAATCAGTACCAAAACAGTATGTACAATATATACAATCATTCAGGATAGGGACTTAATCCCTATTAGAACAGTACAGTACAACATCATTCAGTCTATACAGAACATAAACAAAGAGGGGGAAAACTAAAACACCCCAAAAGCCCTAGCTTGAAGGACTTGGAACCTCTTAGTGAGGCACGAAGGTTGGCTTGACAAAACAGGAGTTAAGCTTGACGCCCTTAGCAACGGTCCGGTGCCTGAACACCTACATATATATATGAGCAGTGAGCTAAAGCCCAGTGAATAACATATGCGTAAAGAGGTTAAGAATGAATGTCCTTTAAGTATTGAAAACAATCATTTATCAGTATATCAGTCATTCAGTTTGTGGCTCATATTTTATGCCATAACAGTTATTCAGAAACTATAATAGTCATATGTGGTACACCCAACAGCAAAACAGTACAGTAGGTCTTATCAGACCGAACAGTCAGTTGATGGCCATCATATCACTAAACAGTAGTGGTTCCAACATAGGAACCGACAGAGATCTCTGTGACAGTAGCAGTAACAGTTTAGTAACAGTATATTGCTATGGATGCCACGAATACAGTTCACAAATAGGACAAACATTCATTCAGTAAACAGTGTCATTTAATAAAGCAGTACAGTCATTTGTTCAAAAAATTATCTCAATTGAACATATCTTTACAACATTGTACTCACAGAGTTCTGGGCTACAGATAAGCTAGTACGCCTCCTCGGATGCCAACCCTACACAGTTACAGAATGAACACACACTAAGCTACACAGTTGGGAAATAATAACTTAATCCCTAATTTGCCTCGGTGTGGTTCTACATCAATATCCTCATTAAGATGCCTTAAACTAGGCCTAGGAATGCCTAGGATGGAATGAGGATGCAAAGATGCACTTTAAAAACATTTTCAGAATTTTCAGAAAATAGGGGTCTCGCTTGAGCATGGTTTTCTACGCTCGAGCGGACATGCAGACAAAAGTCTTCGCTCGAGCGTAAACTTTCCCGCTCGAGTAGACTGCAAAAGTACTGAATGCGTGAAAATCACGCTCGATGGGCGCTCGACACCCGCTCGAGCGTGTGACACAAGTCCTCGCTCGAGCATACAAAATTGCGCTTGAGCGGACTGTAAACACAACAAAAGTGCTGGATACACGAATTTCCCGCTCGAGCGCCACTTACCTCGCTCGAGCGGGAGTCCAAAATTTAAAATTTCCAGATTTGAACCTCAAGCTCAAAATCAAGTTTTAATGCATCAAATTCGATCCTCTTGGGCCAATTTTCTGGAAAACACTTGTAAATTCATAGTTTAACATGATTCAAAGCTCAATTTGTAAAATCAAGGCCCAAAGGTAGAAACACTTGCAAACTCATAATATGACATGTTTCAAAGATCAATTTGAGAAATCAAAGCCCAAAGGTAGTTCAATTAAACATAATTTTCAAATAAACTTCAAGAACATGAAGAACAATGCAAATTCAACACATGCATGGGTTCCTTGAAACTCCGATGTTCTAAAACAAGATCAAATGCAAGATTTAACTTCAAAACATGGTGAGTTCATGGACTATAACAAAAATGTGGGCATGCATGCAAGAATTTCTTTGAAAACAACCTCAAACTTCAAGAGATGCACATGCATGCATGAGATAAGCTTCAATTCAACATTTTTAGACCAAAACTTGACTTAGATCACTAAACTCCCAAGAACCATGCAAGACAATACATAAATACATCAATGAGAGGTTGAAATCCTTACTTAGGTTCCTCAATTACAAGTCTAGAGGCTCAATTTGCTATTTCTCTCTTCAATTCTACCAAGTTTCCAAGCAATTTGGTTGAAATCAAGTTCTTTCCTCCCTCTCACTCTCTCTCTAGTCGGCTAAGTCTAAGAAAAATGGGCTGAAGAAGTGTTGTAATGCTAGCATTAGAGATCAACTAAAAGGCTCATGAAAGTCCACTAAGTGGCATTCCCGTAAATAAGTCCAACTCTTGCAATTTAGCTTATTTAATCTAATTTAATCATACTAAATCACATTTCAATTAAATATACCATAAAATCATATAAATCTTAATTAGCACAAAACATCAATCAATTTCAGATTCGGCCGCCGATAAGGCATTCAATTTGCAGTTTAAAGCATAAAACATGAACAGATAATTTAACAGTCAATAGATAGAATTGCATTCAAACTAGCACAATCAATCAATCAGTTTAATAATTCAGTCAGTCAGTCAATCAACATGCTTAATCATAGATTAGCACTAATCAGTAGTGTTATCAGTAAACAGTGCTGAGGGTTGTTACAGCTATCGCCGACAGGGTATAGGCGACGAACTTGACGATAAAAAAATTTAGTCGCTAATTAGATTTGGCGACCAAAAATGGGACTTTTGGCGACCAATATTTTGGTCACCAAAACTGTCATTTCCTGTAGTGTTGACAATGACGACACAAAGATGTTGTTAAGCTTTGTGCTAGTAGCGATATGTGAATCTCTGTTTGTGGTGATAGATTTGTTGTAGTGAGGAAGATGGTTCACAGCTGAGGTGAGGTGGGTGTTTTGTTATGGGTGTTTGATGGATTTGCGAGAGAAGATTTTTGTTCACAGAGACGGAAGAAGAAAGGTAAGAGAAAATATTAAACATAACGGTCAATTTCTTATGGGAGTTATAATTATAAAAAGAACAAAGTGTAAGAAATGGTTTTGGGAAAAAATAGAATTTTTCGTCAACTTTGGTCTAATTTTTAGATAGGACCCATGCGCCAAAGATGGCCGGTCTAAGTGGCAACGTGTTCTATGCCGCATTGTGATTCATGTAGTATATTTGGTTGCTCAAAACCATTATCGGGTGAAGGAGAAATTGAAACCAAAGTGAGCTCCATGAAAATGGTGTTTTGGTGAAATTTCTATTAAGGTTTAAGTTAAAGCTTGTCCCACATTAGTTTAGTGGACAAACTTTTGTGGGTTTATAAAGCTTGGGTTTGCAACTTAGGGAGGATCCCAAGGGGTGCCCAAGTTTTGTGGAAGGATGAGATTATGGGCTAGACCCATTGGACCCAAAATAAACACACACACACCACTACGAGATTGTGCTTGTCCGGCCCAGCCAAAAACTTTTTGAATTTTAATTTTCTAAAATTAAATTCTTATCCTTTTTTTTTGGAATTTGAATTTCAAAATTAATTCCAAATAATGTCCAGATTATCCCTCCACCTAAATAGGTCCATATCTATCCAATTAAACCCAAACAAGTTTATATATGTTGGAATTTAAACCAAATAGGTATTATATGTGTTCAAACAGGTTTGCACTTGTTTAATTCAAATCGAACAGCCACAAGTTCTCCTATAGATAGACAGACTCTCATTTGGATTTTGCACTCTAATTTTCATTCTTGTTGCTGTCGTTGCTCTCTGCATTTTGCTGCATTTATTTTTCTGTGAGAAAGTGTATAAACACAAAGTGTGTTTGTTGTGCAAACAATTTATAGTGCTGTTATTGTTTGTTGTTGATCATTTTATCCTGGGAGATAGATGTCCACAATCTGAAAGCACCGTGGAGAGAACGAATCTCTCTTAAGGACACAGTGTTAAACACTGGATTTGATCAGAATTTTGTTCAATAAATACATAAGGTTAGTAATTAATTTACTTTATGTTTTATTTATTTATTTTTATCAGATTCAGATTTTGTTTTTTGTAACAAAATAAGAATCTATAATTTTATTTTATTTTCTTTACTGGTTTGATTTTTGTAATCAAACAGTCTCTCTCCTTCTTTATTTCTTCTGTTTGTTGTTAAGTACACAAACATTATTTATTCTTAATACAGTGAAAATTGTCTAACAATCTTAAAACAGACTATTTTTTGGTGTCTTCATTGTATTTATTTTCTGTGTTTTTACAAAGTGATATTCTGGTTGAAAAATACAAATAGTAGTAATATATTGTTTATTTTCTTTGACAACTAGTAATAATATACTAGTGTCATAACAATTTAAGAATATTAATTTGTGTAATAGTGTTACAAAAAAATATTGTGTAGTAATTTATTTTCTGGTTTGAATAACTAGAAAATTAATTTATGTTTTGGTTTTTCTGATTTTTGTAATCAGATATTATGGCTGTTGAAAACAGTACT